ATGTATCAAAATAAGGCAGATATTATTTGTATGCTGTACTTATAAAAACAATTTCAAAGAAGGCAATGAAAAATATGCTGAAGTATTTTGTTTCAAATCCAAACAAAATCAAAAAAGGAATTAAAGGCATGGATTTTTTTTGAAGGAATGCATATCATCTGCTGGCTTTGATACCAGAGTTTTAGACAAAGATCATCTTATGGTGAGAAAAAAATGTCCATTGCCATTATGGTCAGACCTTGAAAATAACGTGATCTGTAATCTCATGGATCGTGTGTGGTGTGAAACTCCATCTACTACCACATTGACTGAGGATAGGTTGAATTATAGCCATTTTTGTGTTATTTAGGGGGAAGTTGGTTGTTGCAGCCATCTTGAATCAGGTTCACCTCAAAAGTTAATCAGATGTAGATGGATACACAAGGATTACTTTCTAATATGTTTCTTTAAAATTCGTCTAGTGTTTAATTTTTTCCATTCTGTGGTGGATTATAACTAGTCAATGTTGCAATACAATATGCACCTACTAACAGAAAAAAAAAGTTGAGTACAGAGACAGAGTGGTGAAAATAAAATAAAAACTCCTCATGTGCCTATATCAATGAAAAATGAAATGAGTACACCAACATGTCAAATGGATATTGGAGTTGGCAGTACAAGTGCTATGCTGGTCCCCTTCAGGTCTGGATAGTGGCAATCTGGTGTGGAACAGTGTCTAGTCATTGCATCCTCTCTGTGGCAAGTCAATCCACATCTGTTTTAACTGACCCCTGAGATCTGGCAGATGGGTCGGAGTTGACATAGCTGATTTCAAGCATGTTTGATTGGGGAAAGATCAGAGGAACCTGACTAACCAATAGAGGGTCTCAACAGGATGCAGGCAGCACATACACACATGTACCGTGTGTAAACGAGCGTTGTCTTGTTTAAATACTTTACTAGGGTGTTGTCTTTATATATAAAGCTTGTTCAGGTTTCATTGTCCAATTGGTTTTATGTTGTCTACGACCTGAGATAGTCTTTTCTTAACCCACAACCCGTTTTCTTTTCCTGCTATCAGATAGTGTAAGTGCAGATGGGATGCATAGTAGACACACTTTTGTGAAAGAAGTTTGTGATATTTAGTATATTTTGACCTGACATTTGGTAATGCATTGCTGGTTGCTTAATTAGACTATCTATAAATAAAGCCATAGCTCTGTTTGTGGTACCAAGAAAAAAAAAAGTTAGACAACTCCCATTTCACCACTGTAGACAGTTTTGTCTTAGATCTCTGTTGCTGTCTAAAGTTTAGTATTTAAATGATGAATCCTTGACACCACACCAAACTGTACATTGTCTAGTTCTTAGTACTGTACTTTCATAATCAAAGTGACACGTGGCAACAGGTAGTCATGTAGAAAAAAAGAACATCATTGTGACACACTGTGGCTTGTATTGCTTTACCATTCATTTTTGTTGTTTTGATTATCACTCGGCAGCATTGTCATTTCTGATAACACAGCTCTGCAAGCATTTTGTAGGGAAGACATGATGTAACTTTTACTTTAAATGTGTAATGTGGCCTGGGAATAGAGAACAAATGTTACTGAGGAAATGATTCTGCACTAAAGCTCAGCTGCTAAAAATAGCATTTACAGCTCATTTGATTAAGGATTCAGAAAAAAATATATATTGGCATGACTATATGTTATGATCTGTTCTAGCTGTGATAAAATCAAAAGTCACTCAGTTCCCATAATCCAGTTTTTTACTTTTTAGTAGGGATGGAAACAAGTAGGTCTCCATTTTTACCCTCCAGTTGATCTTGTGTAAAATTGGCCTTCAGGGAATCATCCATCCATCCATTATCTTTTGCCCGCTTCTTCCGTTTTGGGTCACAGGGGTCACTGGTGCCCATGTCCAGCAATCACTGTGCGAGGGGCAGGGGACACCCTTGACAGGTTGCAAGTCCATCACAGGGCCACATAGAGACAAACAACCATTCACTCTCTCACTCACACCTAGGGACAATTTAGAGTTACCAATCAGCCTAACATGCATGTTTTTGGTCTGTGGGAGGAAACCGGAGTACCCGGAGAAAACCCACGCATGCATGGATAGAACATCCAAACTCCACCCAGAAAGGGCCCCGGACTGGGATTTGAATCAGGGACCTGCTCGCTGAGAGGCAGCGGCTCTACCAGTTGTGCCACCGTGCTGCCCTCACAATCTTTTCAAGCATAGTAAAATTTTAGGAGATGATAAATTATGCTGGAACTGTCGTGCCATTAACAAAAATAAATAAATGTTCATAAAATAGTTCACACCCTCTGGAGTGGGGCTGTGTGGGGAGTTTATGAACAATTCATATTGCGTTGTTGAAGCTCCTTGTACCACCTGTTTGGAGAGATTGTTTTCTTGGTACCTTCTTTAAGCAACTTTATTTTCTAAAATTTATTGTGGTTTATGCTAAAAAAAAATCTTTATCAGATTTTATTACTCGGCTGTTTATATAGAATGTTCTGGTTAAGTGTAAATAACACTGGCAGCAGCAGCTATCTGTATCACTTATGATGCTGTTTAGGACACCTCCGGTACAAATGATATGATATTTCTGCTGATATGAGCATGCTTTACTTAATAATAAATGGTGTAACAGTTTGTAAAGTAGCATTCCTGTGAACTGCTACAGAATTTAAAAAATGTCCAGGTGCAATTCACTTACCACTCAGACTACCAGTTGGTTTGTGAATCCAATATAAAATCTGTGGTCATTTAAAGATCAATATGGAAGAGTTAAGGTATAATTTGTTTATATTTTCCACAAATCTCAGCTTAAAAATTGCCCAACTTTTCCTTAATAGTTTTGTCATTTGTTTCAAATCAAGGTCTTCAACATAAAGCAGCATGGAGGAAAACAGTCAGAAATTGAATTCTGCTTCTTTTTTTTTTTTTTTTTACTTTTCTCGCGAATGCATCAGTGTTAAGAATTGTCTTTGTCCCTCTGAGGCAAGTGTTGCTGCATGTCCCAATTTTCTAATTATGTAATCATATCCCTAAACACGAACTCTTGCAGACATGCTGCGTCTTCTGCCTCTATCGTGTGAACCCTCTGGGTTTCACAATGTGGAGCACCAAATCAGATCATGTCTCATGTCGAGGGGATACGCCTCAGATGAGAAAGTAAGAGAAGGAATTGCAAAGGAGAGCTCCATAATAGGTTTGTGGTGGGCTCAACAGAGACTGAACTTCTTACTTGAGGGTAAGAAGCGAAACAAGTGAAAAACAAAATTTATTTTTGTGTTAGTGTAGACGGTCGGTGCAGTTATCCAAGTCAGGATAGTCACAAATTTACTTACAGAAACTGAAGGTAAAATCTAATTTATTCTAACTGGATTGAGTAAGATTTGCATAATTGATTAAGCATTATAACAATTGTATAGACTGAAAAGATTTTTCAGAAACCCAAGATGTTGTGACGACGATTACTTGGAAGTACATGCAAAAATACAAATCAGTTGCAAAAATGAATTGATATCTTAAATCTATTGAAAGCAGAGTCAGGGCGTCTGTTTCATTTATACTGTAAATAATTATCAATGACACACACACACACACACACACACACATATATATATATATATTTTTTTTTTTTTTTTCCTTTAAATGTCAAGATAATTGCAATCAAATGTGCTTAAATAAATGCATCTTACACACTCTATAAAACACATAGGATTTGTGGTATTATTCAAAAACATTCACTTAGTAGCAAAGTATCTGAATAAGCTATGCTTTAATTATTCTTAAGGCTGCTGAAAATAAGTTTTGTGTGCATTAATTAATACAAATGACTGATATAAAACCTGATGGTTCATAATCAGAACATGTTCTGTTCTGATAATACACACATCTCTGTTAGTGTATCACACAAACTGAACACAACACGCCTCCTTCCTTTGCCTCGAGATGAGTGGAGCCTTTGCCTCAATAAGACAAATAAATCTGCATAAGTGTGGTGCAAGATGATGTATAATTTTTCAGAATCTGTGCATTTGAATTCTCAGCAATAATAAGCAGACTGAAAAAACAGAAGATGAACTATATTCTTTGCTTGTGATCTCCGGGGAACATGTACCAAAGTGTAATGAGTTCATTTCTTTGTCGTAATTAGAAAGAAATCTGTATTTAGAACATAAGAAAAACTGTTTTCCTCTTTCTCGGAAGAAAAACTTTTTTTTTTTTTATGTGTGACTCGAGCTGTGGGATAAAATATATTTTGTATTGCATTAGAGATGTACTGTACTAGTGTTATCTTTGCATGTGGATTTGACTGGATGTGTGCTTGTAAACTGTTTAACAAGGCCATGTATATTTTTGTGTGTCTGTGTGTTTGTGCACAGATTTCTGAGAGAGCATATGCTCATTTAAATATAAATCTTTGTTCACAATGTGTGCATAAGTGTGTTTTTCTTTGCTATAAAGCAGGCACAACAGCAATGTTTGTTATGATGCAATCGGCAATCCACCCCATATGTAAATGCTTGACTACCATTCAAACTGCATGCAAATGGCTTAAAAAGCTTTGCTTTTGGCAGGAATGATGTCATAGGAAAAATAAATGACTGAGGAGACAATTTGCTGTCAGCATTTGGGTGATCAATGTTGCACTTTGTAAGAAAATATTCTCTTGAGGCAGAAAATATACTGTTAGGTGCTTATTTTACACTATAAGTATCAACCTCATCCTAATAACTTTGAATGGTTATTGTGAAGAAATGAAGAATGATTATATATTGTCATGCAACAGGTTAAAGGAAAGATTTCTGGGGAAGTGCAACTGAAATTAGATGAATCCAGTGTTGACTTTCAATACTTTTAATAAACCTTTGAAAGATGACTTTGTTCTCACTTCAAGAATTACAGTATTCATTTTTACTTGCACAAAACACTTGTTGACATGATGAATCATATTTATGAAAGTGAGCTTATATTCCACATTTATTCTTTTTTTCCCTCAGATCCGAGGAACCACCCAGTTGAGTCAAGCACAAGGAAAGCCAACAGACAGAGAAAGAGAGAGAGAAAGTATGAAAACAAGTTATGCCCCTTGAACTTCCAGTTCAACAACTTATGATGTAACATGGGTCTGCTGCTAATCACAAGGATGCTGAGACTGTCTCTGTGAAGGCATCAACAAACCTAGACCCAATTCTTTTTTGGATTTTTCCCCCTTGAGTTTTTGTTGTTTCTCCTTCCCTTGCAAACACATCCTCCTACATCTTTGCCCTAATTATAGCCTCCGTTCAACAACATTCGACATGATGCAGGGTGGATCTGGAGCCTCTATTCTCCTCCCTATTTTGCTTCCCTGCCTACTATTCTTCTCCAGTTTCCCCAATAAGGCCAGTGGGGACTGCTGGCTCATTGAGGGGGACAAAGGCTACGTTTGGCTAGCTATATGCAGTCAGAACCAGCCTCCCTATGAGACTATACCCCAGCACATCAACAACACAGTCCATGACTTGAGACTGAACGAAAACAAGCTGAAAGTGGTGCTTTTTAGTAACATGTACCGCTTCACAAATCTGACTGACCTCAACCTCACCAAGAACGAAATCAGCTATGTTGAGGATGGGGCCTTCGCAGCACAAGCCAATCTACAGGTGAATACAATATTTATGTTATTTGCTAAAATATACTGTGGAAAGCTTTATCTAGCAAATAATTTGGAAGATTTGTAGACATCAAAAATTATTTAATGACACATTTTATGTCAACAGTATATATATATATATATATATATATAT